TTTAATAAAGATACACAATCCATGTTGTGTTTATGCGTCGTCCATGTTTCGTCATTGAAGGATTTTCTTTTTCCACTTTGAAACCAAGGGCAGTTTTCTCTTCAGACCGTAAAGACCTGAACACAAATAAATGATTTGGGGCCATATAAATAAAACAGACTTGACTTTACTTGGTTGCGACAAAAAAGCAACATTTCTTTTTTCTATTTCCTCTCCCAGTATTCATCTCGTGACCTCTGACCCTTAGTTTGGGGACTACTGCAACAGACTAACACTGAATTATCAGTATAATGGTGAAACCTGTGGGTTAAATGAAATGACTGTCGTGGTCACGGCCTCTTCCTCCAGTTATACGGAACATTATTTAAATCTGTTATGAAAACGTCTGCTTTGAATAATTTGTGTCACTTCAGCTTCATATCACCATGAAGCTGTTTAAAAAAAAAAATGAAATAAAAATATTTCACTGCAGCTGCACATAAGAGAGAAGAACATCTAAGATTAGGCTGCTTGATTCTGCTGAATTATCTTAATGCATAAACATGGTGCGTGTGGTTTCCTGCATTTTGACTTCTTGTGCATGTTTTAGAGGTACTATAGTGTGTGTGTGTGTGTGTGTGTGTGTGTGTGTGAAATTTTAATATATAAATGTATGAAATAAGTCAAAATGTCACAATAAATAGATTTGTTAATGAGACCTCCCATGATCATCATCATTTCATCATCTAAAAGACGTTCATGGCCAAACTAATGGGTTAATTAATTCATGTTTATTCATGCTGCTCTTGTAATTTGTATTTGTGAGCAGAAACAATATAACGTTAATTAAAGTTTCACACACTGTAAACAAATATGGAAATTTACAGTGTATTTGACATCATAACAAGCTCTCACAGTAGCTGATAATATCTCAATGAACAGTGATGAAAGCAGCTCTGTGTATCACGGGAGTTGATTTACATCGTCTACATTTTATATTCTTTTATTTTCTTCCCTTGCTCCCTGTGCACCAGTGTTATTATCACCATCTCTGGGTCTAACATGTTAATTTAATTTCATGTTTAAAGCAAATTAATTAATTTGCATTTCACATTTGGGCTGCTGAGCGAGTGTGAGCCAACTGCTCCGCAGCATTGTTGTATGAACGCTGTAATTACGGCTGGTTTTTTTTTTTTTGACATCCCCTCGGTGCCCGGCTCCCTATCGCAGAGATGAGAGGAGAAAGTGACACGCAGCTTCACATGTTCTCCTCAGGGAACACTTATCAAAACAATACGCCAGCCATCATTCAAACACAGCCCTGCACACTTTGCCACTTTGAAGTCTCCCCGTCCTCTTGTTTTTTTAATCCCCCCTCGCCTTTTCTCTCAATGTAATCCCACTGTAACTGCAGGGATTATTCACAATGCAGACCATTTGTTCATACAAATACAACACTTCATCAACAAATAACAATATGTTGAGACCAACTATTGAATAGGAGGGCTAAATCTAAACGGGTTCAAGTGCTGGCATTGCCATGCATCTCTGCCTCTGTGTTGCCAATCCCTGTAAAAAGTTAATGTAAGCAGGATTCACAGAGAGCTGCTGGTGATGAAATTATGGTGTAACTGATACCAATGTGCCATAGTAGAGGAGTGCATGGCCGCCTGCATCTTTGAAGGAGGCTCTTCCCATCCCACGATGCTCTGCTGGAGAGGGCTCCTGTATGGTTGTACAGTACAAAAGGACAGATGGAGGGCAATACTGCACAAAAACAGGCAATCGTTTTGCCGCAATACACAAAAAAGCCTGTAAGTTAAGGAATTCATTGTGGATTCACTGTTGCACACAACACTGAAATCTGTGGACTGTAAATATATACAGTATGTAAAGTCAAGAGTGGGAGGTTAATATCAAACAGAATATGTTATTTATAGGCCAAGGTCAGAGATTTCTGTTTGTTTTCAAATGCAAATTTCCACATTTTATTTCTTTAAATTTGCATTAACAGTAATAATGTGATTTTCAATTAATTTGAAATATAATGAGTTAAATATTTTTTTATGAATGAACACTGTTGATGTGTTCAGTAACTGATCTTGATGTGTGATTTGTTAGAGGTTACAGAACAGATTAAATATAAAATGATTGCAGGGGCATTGCACGTATCACCACAACTTTTCTTGATCTCCGCAACCTCGAATTACAAATTCATGCGCAACTAAAGAGGTGCATCGTGCATAATAAAAAAAAAAACTGCACTGCCTGCAAAAATACTGAGACGAACAGTGTAAACAATGGGGCTGTATGAGCTCTGAGGGGGAGGCCGTAAAAGCCACGGCTACAGGGATGCCAAAAACATGTTATTGAGAAAGGGGTGAGCCAGTGTTGCCTATTACTATAGCAACAGGAAGACCTGGCTGCTTCAATCAGCTTTTGGCGTGTTGGGGAGGCCCAGGATAGGCAGAGGAGCTCCAGCCGGGGAGCCACGCAGAGCCGCCCTGGTTTTACTAATGAGGGCAGCGGGACACGCTGGGTGTCAGCCAGCCTGTCCGACCTCCACACGTCCTACCTGTCACGCCGCCCGTCATGCCGCCAGGCAGCCTCGGAGGTCAGGCGTAGGAAGCACAAACAGAGCGACAGCCTGGTGAGAGAGGGAGAATAAATACACCTGATTAAAACAGACTCATTAGCACATTAGAGACTGATTACAGACAAGAGACCGTGATTACAGACGAGATATCAGACACATTTTACACATTAACTGCAGTTTTATTGCCACTGTCTATAAACTTCTTCCGTCTCATCAATCAATCAATGTGAGATCAAAGTCCGTCCTTCAGCAGCTTGACGTGACAGTCAGCTGCATCCCGAAGACTGTAACAACATCCACATCTTGTGTGTAATTGATTTACAAGTCTTTACATTTTTCATGTCCCTGCAGTTATAGTCGACCGATTGTTCTTTTTACGCTTCATTAAACCTCATCATTAAGTAAAGATCCTGTTTTGAGAGGCGTGTTTAAATAATAACGATGTTGTTGTGACAGTGATGAGAGTTATAAAGGCGTCAGGGTGTGAAGAGGCAGGTGGAATTGTATAATGAAGCAATTGTTATATATATGTGTGTGTGTGTGTGTGTGTGTGTGTGTGTGTGTGTGTTTACATACAACTTCTGCTATAAAAGGGATATTTTATTATAATTATCACTGTGTTTTACTTTACTATTGTCATTCAGGGTGTGTTTATACACCGTCCTCCTCTTATTGGTGCCTACAGAAGGAGAAGAAGTTGGAGGGGTGGGGGTGAGGGTGGGAGCTGTATGAATGTTATACTGAATAGGAAAATATATATTAAGTACAAATATGCTCCTAAATAGTTAACATGGGTCAGTACAGAGGGGGAATCATAAAGTCCATCTTAAATTAAGATTGAATGATTTTAATGCAACATGTATCTAACATGTTACACTGACAGACACCAACCATGCAGTATTACTTATCTGCTGTTGCTATATTTAAATATCTGAATGTACACATCTTATTATTATCTCTTATTAATCTTATTGATAAAAGTATTTGATATTGACATTTTGACAGTTTCTTTTTTTAACTGTCCACTTTTCTGCTGTAACTCTGCTACTTTTCCCCGCTGCGCCACTAATAAATAATCTTATCATATCTTATCTGAAACACAGTGTGTTAGTCGTTACACCTGAAAATCATGTGCTCCAATTTTCTTCTGAGCACAACTGCACACAGACTGAGATCTATATTTCTATCTATCTCTTCTTAAAACTTTATAAAAAATCACTTATACTTTCACAAAAGTTTTACAAAGCAGTGAATTAGATTTTTTTTTTTTTTTTACTCTTAAAAGACTTAACACACATATTCTTCATGATGCTGCTCATATATAATGCAGTGTAAATGTGTTTATATGTGAAATATTAATAGAAGCCTCACGAGGTGCAGTAGCAGTAAAGTGGTAAACTTTATTAGCTATATTAAAAGTTTAGTTAGTAAAAAAAAGATTAAGTTGCTGAGTATATTTCTGAAGAAAATTCACACAAAGTGGCTCAGACTTATGACTGAAATACTTCACTGTGGAGGATTTACACAAATGCCGGATGGACACTGACTTTAAGTGGCCGTTTGTCCCAGCTGGAGGCCATGGTTTCTTTTCACCACACCGCCTCTTGTTATAAAGGTACAGTGCTGTGGTCCCAGGTTGGTGCTAATGTGTAATGATTAGCAATCAGTGTAAGACTGATAGCAGGCCAATAGAAATAGAAAAGTTCCCCCAGATAAACCAATGGTGTGGCCACATTGTTACAGCGTTCAGCGAATCCCCAGCGGATCTGATGCAACAGGGCTGCAACTAAAGTTACACCTTCGAACTGCAACATGATGTCCTTCCGCTACGGCGCACCGAAAACTAGTGCCGGCTGTACCGTCTGCTGAGCACATCCCCTGATCCTCTGCACTCTCTCTCTGTTTAGTGTGTTTATTATCTCGCGTGTGACTGGATGAGATAAACAGGGAGGTTACTGCTGTGTCTGAGGAGGCAATTTTTTTTTTTTTTTTACATGTTTTAGTGACTTTTTCCAGAAGGGCACTACTTTATTTAAAAAAAAAACCAGCAACACTCATTTACACTGTAATTTTAATATTAAGTTATTTCTAATTTCTGTAGCATCTAAAGAGAGCATAAGTGCTATACAAACCACTTAAAAGAGAATATTTAGAGTCATTTTTATTTATTACTTCTATTACAAATAATTCAATTTATTTAAAAAGAGGGTAAAATCTAAATGAAGTTAATAAAATAAGCTAAAGTAGAGTAAAAAAAAAAACCAAAAAAAACAAGACATGTTAGATGAGTGTGTGCTGGTTACACAAACAGTCTGTGGCCTCTGGATAATGGGAAAGTCCCCAGGTTCATGACGTAACGGCCGGGTGAACGCTGTAAGCTGCGGATTAATTTCGTCTCCTGTGATCAGGTCCCGGGCACTAGGAGTTGCAGAAGTAGCGGATTTAAAAACTTTCTGTCTGCAAGTCTTTTCGTCGAAATAGCACTTCAAGAAGAGTCTCTGACTTCCAAAAGGGGAAAACATGGCTTTTTAAACTGTGACCGTCTTCGTGCTCACCGTAAAGCTCCGTGTGCTTTGCTCCTGCAACGCACTTTACAAGACTATTCAGAAACTATGGGGTAAGTAAAACTGTTTTCTAGCTTTGGCGGAACAGGGGGAAAGTTCGGAGGAGGATTTAGCAAACAAACCAGTCAAGACATTGATTAAAACCAACGTTATCGGTGAATTCAGTTGTTAATTTACGTCATTTAAAGGTTTATTTTATTAGAGGAGAGGCAGGACTGTATTTTATTACTGTTTTAAAGTGACCATGTCAAAGTTACTTTTTCATGTGTAAAAATAGAATTTCTGTTTCATGATACATATTTTAAAGTGTTTCTGCAGCTTACATTATGTAAAATAACTTTCTATTTCTATTTCTATTATGTGTGTCAAAGTCTAATTATGTTAAAGTCTTTATTATGTTCTCATTTTTATTTATGCAATATATTCTCATGGTGTGTTTCTAAAACTATGTCAGCTCACTGTTTTGTATGTTGCTTTATAATAATTAAATTGTACTGACATAAATTTTAAGTATGAGGATGACAGGTGGACAGAAAAATTAAGAGTCAATTTGAACTCAATGAACCTTAATATAAAGTTATTTTTGTAGTGTCATTTTTAAATATTAATAACTAATATATTAATAATGGTCAAAAAAAAAATTTTTTTTAGGGAATTATTAAATGCTATAGAGCTTGAAATGGGGGGTTTAAAGGGTGAAATAAAATTTGTTTATTTCCTTAATTTTTCCCACAGGTCTTCCAGTTCTATTTCATCCACCCAGTGCACGGTTTGTGCTTTTGAACAATTCGATCGAAGCAGACGACACAATGGCGGCATCGATCCTTCGCAGGAAAATTCCCCCCATTTCCACAGGCGAGCTCGGCGCTCCCCTTCTCCAACAGGCTAGCCACAGCCAATCACTGCCCAGGACGGGGGCGGAGCCTGTGGAGAGGCAGCACTTAATTGGTGAGTTTTGCCAAGACGCTTTTTTATTTTTCCACATCCCGAGGTCGGAGCCGCAGTGCAGCACGGGGCTAATGTCGTACAGTGAGTACAGCTAAGTGGATATTTATCGAATGCAGACGATGCTGTTCAATCATTTTCAGATGATCGGTTAGTTGTTCACTTGGATTTTTCGGATGTATTGCTTGCTTTTAACTTAAGCTTTTATCCTCTCAACCTTCCGTGATTTAAGAATTTTTTTTCCTGAATTTCTAGTTTTTATTTGTTATTCTATACAAAGAGCTGAATGAAAAAAAAAATGGATTGTTTTATTCACTATATGGTTATTATTTTTAATTTTTTATAGGTGATGGTCACTCAGATTGGATGACGGAAAAAGTTGATTTGTCTTCATTTGTGTCGACGACCGAGTCTTCTCCAAGCTCTTCCCTTCCACCCTCACCATTAGAACAAGATGTCAAGGTGCCCTCGGATCTGGAGGTCATGACCTCTCTACTGCAGGAGGAGCTGGCTCAGCTGGAGGACTACTTCCGCTCCGAGTCCACATCCACGACAAGCAAGTTGGAGAAATCCTCAAAATGTGACAAGGGTGCTCAAGCCATGGGCTCCCAGTCTTATTATCAGTTACCCTATGGGTCGTATGGGTCCAGCCAATCAGAAACCAGCCCTGTGGTTGTTACCTTGGCAACAGGGGAATTGGACCTGGCCAGCTTCTGTGGCGGTCCCATCGGCAGAACCAAAATTGCTCGACCCGCTCCATACAACTACCATCACCGCTACCACCACAACAACGGGCGAAGAATAATCAGCGAGGCTGTGAAAGTAGGGGAGGAAGTTGGACTTGATACGTGGGGCTCCAGGGGAAGTTACTCAGGAAGCACAGAGTTGTCTGTGAACCACTACTCCACACTGAAGACAGTGAGCAAGAACAGCCTCGGCAGCGTCAAGAAGGTGAGAGAATGTGCTTTATCGTTGAAGGAAGAGGAGAGTTATTGTTTTTCAGAAGGAATGTTTTGCAGCGAAGAGATTGCTCGAGGTTTTTGTCTGGGCGGCTCGTACGAGAGCCACCACAAGCGAGAGGGACAGTTGATGCACAATGTGAAGGTCAATGTAAGTTACGACAGCACGGGGCTCGATGTTTTGCACTGCAGCAAAGATGGAGGACTTTCTGGAAGTATTCCCCCAGAGACAATGGTGGCCGGTGACGGCTACTTCCACCAGTCAATGGCCAGCACAGAGCCTTACCATAGCTTTATAGGTGACCTAGATCAGCCGTCACAAGCACAGGCTGTAGAGCCCCAACACGGCCACTACCTCTATCCAGAATGCCTTGCAGACCAAAGCTATGAATGTCTGTCCAGAGGGGAGGGCGAGGGGCCGCTGATGGGCGCCCCAATCCACCGCCCCACCCAGAGGCTAAAGGATGAACACTGCTCCATCAAACCATCTCTAGTGATGGGCGCCGCTTCTCTGGAAGCCAACAGTGGAGAGAGGAAGCAGAAGAAGAGAGACCAGAACAAAACTGCTGCTCACAGGTAAATGAGTGACTTTTTTTTTCCCCTCTTTCTTTCTTCATAAAAACATCCTTCATAAACATGTTTTAAAAAAAAAAATAAAGTAGGTCATGTGTCTGATAATACAGTAATGAAAATGTGGTATATAACAATAAAAAGTAAAAAAAATAGTCACAATCACAACTAAGTAAAGTTATTTTCTTCATCTAGCCACTGTTGTAGTGGGTCATTACTGTTCATATTGTTGCTTTTTCTTAGCTTATCCATCCACTGCTCATACTTGTTGTTTTGCTTGACACTTTAACATGGCTGGAGTGTTACATAAACCAGCCACCCCAGTGCTTTAAATGTCCTACAGAGTGTAGGAGGGAAATGGAAAGTCCCTCACTGCTTGCCAGATTCAGCCCCACCTAACCATTTCTATAAGTCTGTTTTGTCTGTGTGCGTAAGTTTCAGTTAGTCACATCTGTGTAAAATGAGATATATGTTGAAAAAGTCTATTTAATGTTGGGGGAAAGATAGAAGTTTGCAAAGGTGGAAACTGATCAGTCATGAACCCTGCAGTACGTGGAACAAACAGCACATGATGTTATCTCAGGGAAGGGGTGTCTGAGCTGTGTGAGTAATCCGCTCTATGTAGCTCAAAAGGTCACGTTCACTTGACTCATTAATAAAGATGCAAGGCAGCAAAAAACCTGTAAGACCCACCGAATGCATTCTTTCCTACTGCAGGTACAGGCTGCGTAAGAGGGCGGAGCTGGACTCTCTGGAGGAGGAGCTGCATGGCCTCGAGGGGCAGAACCGAGAGCTTCGTGACAAGGCGGAGTCGGTGGAACGAGAAATCCAGTATGTCAAAGATTTACTGATCGAGGTCTACAAGGCTCGCAGTCAGCGACTCAAACAGGATGGCAGTGCCTAAAACGCCCACGCTGACCTCACCTCCAAAATCTCCCAACCAGCAGCAAGAGAAAAATCAAGTCAAGAGCACCAACTGGTTTTTGTCTCACAAAAATGAAATGGTAGTTGCATGATTTTCGTAGTTCTTTTCTAAAAAAAAAAAAAAAATAAAAAATTTTTTTTTTTGTTCCAAGAGGATGGCGAAACAAAAACAAACCTTTCCTATAAAAAGAAGAAAAAAAAAGGAGAAGTTTCCAGATGGGTGACTAAACTATTAAAAGCCTTAGTGAGGTGGCTTCCAGAGGAGATGCTGAACTTGTCCGTGACCACTGTGATCCGAACTGCACTCACAGCCTTGTGATGACTGAGTTTGCGCTTGCAATGATTGATCGTTTACAAAATGCTCTTTGAATTAGTAGTAGTGGTTGAATTTGCTTGTGGTTTTTGTGACACACATTGGCAGCATCAAGGCAGATCCATACTAAATATATATTTTATTTTATATTTTTATTTTTACTTAATAATGTTCATTTATCATTTGCTTAAAAACAATCAAAGTGAATAAAGGGATTGCTGGAAAAAGTGTGTAACATGCTCTACAAATATTCATTATCAGAAACATTTAGAAATTTGTATTGCTAAAATGTTGAGTATTTACACTTCTTTACCCCACTGAAATACCCAATGCATGTTTGATTTTGGAAAAGCATGTGCGAGTGTTATTTGAAGGCAATATTCTGTTAACTGCATGGCTTCAAGATCTCCACCGCGTCAATTTAACTGAGTTGACTTTACTCTTCTCATCAAGCTGGCGACTTTTCTCTGAGTTCCCCCCCCCACACCCCACCCCCCCGCCGCCGCCGCCGCCGCCAGTGTGATCCATGCTCAGGTTTTGGTTTTCAGCTCTTGAGAAACAGACAACATTCACTGGCTTTTTTCCTTTCTCTCTCCTCTCTCTCTCCCTCTCTCCCTCTCTCGGCTGTATTTTGCGAACAAACAATCACCTGTTGACGCAACAATAAATTGTTGTTGGGTAATGGTACGACTTCATGGGAAATTCTGTTTTTTTTTTTTTGTTTTTTTTTTCTCAATTGATCAATTTGATGTATCTGAAATTCAGGTTCTTTTAATAGTCAATGTCAATGTCAGGAAATTATACATCAGGTAAATTGCAGCCAAATAAAAAATAAGTTATGTAGTATCATTCATCTCTGCCTTTGGACTGTTCTTCACTGCATGCTGTTCATTGTTGGTCCATTAAAGCGCCTCGCTACGGGCTGTGCAAAGTACACCAACTGCACCCAGAACAGCACACACACTGAATAAGAAGACTGTGGGATTAAGAGATAGAGAGAGAGAGGTGTAGAATAAACCCACTCTGCCCCTCCCATCTTTTTTTTTTTTTTTTTTTTTTTTTTCGGCCCAGCCCCGTAACTGCTGGTTCCAGCCCTCTTTTTTGGCTGCAATGCAGTCAAGAGTCCAAGTGATTTCCCAAGATTCACCACTGGACGGCGGGACATCGACTGGGCAGGCTTTGAGTGACACCTGACCGTTCTGCAACAAAACAACCTGCTTTCTTTTAGATTTAGGCGCCAGGAGTGAGTCGACTCGTCCAAACAGCCTCACAATGGGGGAGGGGGGGGGGGGGAGGGGGGGGGGGGGGGGTATGTTTGGAGACACACTAATACACAGTCCTCATGTTATTTTTTTCCAATATTTTACTGCTTTGTTCCTGCTCTATGATTGATCCGCAGGGCTGAGTGGAGCCATATCAAGCTCCGGCAGTCAACAGACAGACATAAATTGCCTATCTCATCTCCCAGCTCGCGGAGGGTGTGCGAATGCATGTATACGCGTGAGTGTGTGTGAGCGTGAGTGTGTGTGTGTGTGTGTGTGTGTGTGTGAGTGTGTGAAATCTCTTGGTATCTCTCCTAGCAGTCGTAGGCCTTTCAAGTGCATGAGGCAATATCACACAATACTTGCACAAGGAGGAGAGAGATACAAGTGAACTATCGGAATAAAAAAGTACTGGGTTGACAGAGAATGCCATTAAATCTGTTGATTCAGTTTTCTTTCTGTTTGTTGTTTGTTTGATACAGACGAAATGTAAAAACGGATTGTACTGCTGATATAAGATGTATATTATAATCTGTTTTTGCATTGTGTTCAATAAAGTTCTTCACTATAACATTATCTTTTTAAACATTTTAGATCAGATGAGAATCCATGTATCTATTTTTATTCACTTATCCAGGTTTGTAAATGATAAATCATATGAATATGATGCTAAATGTAAATGTTACAAAAAAAAAGAAATCAGCCAAATTACAGTTTAAAAAGAGCAAATTTGAGGTATATGACCAATAAAGCAACATTTCAATCAAAAACATTGAATTAAAATGAATCAAAATTGTGATGTCTTTACATTATAGAAGAATACTGAGCCAAATATATGATATGCACAAATTAAATAACACTAATGATGCAAAATATGTAGTTTCAGTGAGAACTACACAGATATCCAGAGTAATGTAAAGATAAAAGCACATGTAAGGATAAGAGAGCCACGTTTTAATTTGCAATATACATGTATATATATGTGTGTGTGTGTCCACGCGCGCATGTGTTTGTATATATATGTATGTATAAAATATAAATATACACTGTAATGAGGGTTAATTTGACATGAGCAGGTCTACAGAGAGACTTGCACATACACTGTCTACAGGGAGAAATGAATAATTTTCTCATGAGCGCAGGCAGAATATTCTACTGAGATCTGCTGCATGTAAGGCTCCTTCACCACCAGGTGTCGCTCTAAGCTTAGAAAAACACTTGCTGCACTGGAGCCCTGCAGGGTTGTTATTTTCACAATATGATTTCTACACTCACCCTGAAACATTGCACACTATATTGCAGTCTGGATCTACGCACAGTTTGTGTTTTAATGTGGATCACATGGAGAGTGTTAAGATAAGATGAACTTTATTGATCCCACAGAGGGACATTAAAGTGTCGCAGCAGCAAAACACACAGTACGAAAATAGACGCATAAAGATAACAAACTGAAAGAGCAGTGGTGGAAGAAGTATTAAGATCCTTTTAATTTAGTTTTAGTTAAATAAAAGTAGTAGTACCACAGTATAAAGATACTCCATTTCAAGTAAAATTAATTCTTACTCAAGTAAAAGTACATAAGTATTGTAAAGAAAATGTACAATTATAGTGCTTATATTTAACTACTTAATATTCCAGGATGGTTTCAGGTCTAACAATGAATTGTATTTTATAAACCTGCCATGTGTTTTGTGTGTAAAACCTTAATCAAAAAAGTAACACAGCTGTCAGATAAATGTAGATGCGTGAAAACTACTAATTTACTAAAAATAATATTTTCCTTTGAAATACAGTGGACATCTAAAGTAGCAAGAGCTCAAATATACAAGTGCCTTTAGTTTATTATTATTATTATTATTATTTATTATTATATTATGTTTTGAGGCTCATAAATATCACACATAATTGAAAAAAGCACTAAATTTGCACTTGAAGGAATGAAACTGGGTGGAGGGAAATATGTCTTTAGTGTCGTATTTGCCGATAGCACTACTTGAATAGGATGAAAAACAGTTGTATTGAACACTTGAAGCAGCAAAAACTAATTGCGTTCAGTGTGTGTCTCATAATGGAAACAGTGGTTCAGAAGAAGTAAAATTTCTGCTTTGATTTCAGTAGAACCTGCTCAGTCAATATATATATATGTACATTAGTATATGTTCCATTTGTTTGGTAAAAAGGTGTTTAACTGTTTTTTTTTTTACAGCTAAGGCTGTTTCATTTATCTTCAATTTTTTTCGTAACCATGTGACTGGTAATCTCATGTACACATCTGTTACCGAGCAGTAAGACATGTTTGTTTTCTTGTTCTGTAACTCAATCCTTATTATGACCTAATGAGCAAATGATGATGTTGAAATATAACCAAATCTACAAGAGGCGGATTTAGAGTTACAACACAGGTCTAGAGGTAAAGAGTTATAGTTTTTAAAAAGAAATAGACATACAGTGAAATATCGGCTACACTAATTTCTCAATTCTAAATCCAGTTTTTCAAATCTTGTGATTCTCTACTAATATTACATTACACCATTAATTACTATAATTAATTACTATTTTATGGTAGTTATAGTACAATATTTCTCCTAAAATGAACATTTCTTCACTCACAACAAAATGACTATCAACAGGTTACAATGCAAAATGTAGTATCTTTGATTTTTTACGTGTATCATTTCCACACAACACAAGAATAACAATGCTTTACACAGGAAATACTAAATATAATATATATAAATACATGTATACAGAGTTTGCTTGTAGTGTAAGTGGGAAAAGATTGCATTAACTTAATAATTAGATCGACTAATCGACTGTTAAATCCACATAGATAAAACACATACAAGTGTGCCTACGTGCAACCTTGTATGTGATTTTGTACATCAACCAAATCTGCACAGGCGAGTGTCTTCCAAGGAACTCTTAAAATACACCTGCAGTCCACACCTCAATGTGAGTGTTCAGGAGGCCACACAGGTATGACGTGAATTAGCCCGGAAAGGCGTATTATCTATCTTAACAAGGGAGGTAATCAGGTGTGACATGATAAACTGCAAAAAATTGGCAGTAAGTAGGATAAGCAGAATTTGTCATCATGTTTCTGCCCGGCTCTGCTTGGACACGGTGGGTAGTTCTTTCTATTGAGCAACATACAGTGAAGTTATAACTACCCTCCGGTTCGATTCTATTCAATGGGACAAAGTCTAAAACCCTTGGCCACAATAAGATGCAGCGTTCATTACGCGTAGCCTCCGTGACGTCACCCATAAGATTCCGAAGAGCAGTTTTGACGTTCAGTGAGTCAACTGCTCTGCCGCCGCCATCTTGACTCTGCCTGATTCTGCTTAACGTCCGACTTGTACAATAACAGGCAAAAAGGTGGGGCGTGTGTGGAGCCGAGACTTCGGTACATTCCGGTTTAATACATGTGACAATCATAGCTCCCGTTAGCATCATTAACAAAGCTAGGCATCTCGCCCGAAGGCTAACCCGAGGCTAATTCATTCGCTGGCTAATTAGCTAGTCAACAAGCTAAGCTAACAAGCCGGGTATGGTGAGCGCAGACACACTGTAGTTTCACTCACCTCAACGTACAGGAGCACAGAGTTCCTCGTTCGGTCCTCACGTTTAGTCAGTTAACTGCACTTCAAGCCATAGTATTTGTCCGACATTTGCATGAAAAATACCCCAAAAAATAACAACCAAGGTCATGTTCACTGACTGAATTAGCTGACGTGACGCCGGGCGGGTAGCCACCTGTGACGGCTGGCCATGGCCCTCAATTGTGCTTAATGTTAAGCCTTAATAAAAAATGAAACAGTTGAAATTACATAAAGATTCACCCCCCGTGCGGTTATCATTGGTCTCTATTTATAGAGACCAATACTGTTTTTGTACCAGGTTGTAAACACGTTNCGACATTTGCATGAAAAATACCCCAAAAAATAACAACCAAAGTCACGTTCACTGACTGAATTAGCTGACGTGACGCCGAGCAGACACCGGGCGGGTAGCCACCTGTGACGGCTGGCCATGGCCTTCAATTGTGCTTAATGTTAAGCCTTAATAAAAATTTAAACAGTTGAAATTACATAAAGATTCACCCCCCGTGCAGTTATCATGAAGGGGGATATTATCTATAGAGACCAATACTGTTTTTGTACCAGGTTGTAAACATGTGTATTTCTGCTGTACAGTTGAACATTTCAATATCAGAGTCTATGAGGATTCTCGCTTT